GCAACTTGCATAGATGATCTCACTGAGAATTAGTGACCTTGTGAGCCGTGTCACGCCACTACAGCAGTGACGAAACTGGGGCTTGAAGAGAGTGACTCTACCGAGGTCGCACAGTGTGTAGGGGGGGAGCCTGTGAACCCAGCCAACTGGAGTTTAGACCCTGTGTAGCAGACACTACACAAGGCTCCCAGCCATGCCTGCCCCTGTACCCTGGAGGGGCCACCCCAGACCCCAATGACATTCATATGTATTTATTTAGTCTTTTTGAGACAGGGTCTCACTATGCAGTTCAGGCTGGCCTTGAGCTCACTTTGTAACCCAGGCTGGTCCCGAACTCGCAACGATCCTCCTGCCTCAGCCTCCTGAGTGTCATTGCATTAAATTGAACTCAATTGCTGAGTGTGGCAGTGCACGCCTGTAATCCCAGCACTCAGGAGGCAGGAGGATTGTCGTGAGTTCGAGACCAGCCTGGGCTACAAAGTGAGCTCACGGTCAGCCTGAACTGCATAGTGAGACCCTGTCTCAAAAAGACAATAAATAAATAAATAAATAAATAGAACTCAAACTCAACTCAAAAATCTGTCATGTGGACCGCTGAAAACAAAGTTTTCTATATTCTCATTAAAATGAAAATCCCATGTTTGCATGCTAAATTTCATTGTGTTTGTTTTGGCCATTGTCACAACCATAGGCCCCTTTCGACTTTTTGTCTGTTACTGATATGACTGTAGGTTTCACAGAGAACAGCGTGTCATCTGTGAAGCACCTATTGTACACACGTGCTATACCACATACTTCAAGTACAGAGGGGCCTTAGAGTCATGATGAACAGTAATACAGGTCATCAAAAGAAGAAAATAAATATGTTCAAGTATCTCCAACAGTCTGAGGAATACTGCTTTTTGTGAGCACTTACTCTATTTTGTGGAAGTCTTATCCAACTCTAGAAGTGAAAATAAAGCTAATTAGCATCAGTTTAGGGCTGCGGGTGTAACTCAGTGGCGGAGCATCTCCTTAGCATGAAGAGGCCCTTGGTTCAATCCTGGCACCTCAAAAAAAAAATTAGAAAAAAAAGAATACTGTTTTCATGTGGACGTTTAGCTGTTTTCTACCACGCCGACCCATCTCAATATGACACAATAGGAAGAGCTGTAGGTTCACCGATCATTTCTTCAGTCAACAGTCCTAGGCCTGGGCGTATGTAGGTCATCCACTCAGTCTTCCTGAGCCTGTCTCCAAAACTATGAAATTGGGACCCAAGTCTGCCGCTCCTTTTTTGTCATTTTGAAATCTGGGGAGTTTCCCAAACCATTACTCTCCCCCATCAGTTCATCAGAAAATCACCGAGCAGAGCTGGCGCCAGGTGACTGAGGGCCTCTCTCTGGCTCTTGGAGGGCGGATGTTCACGCCTTTGCTGAGAACAGCGGGTCTGTGTGACCAGGCCCGCCCCGCAGCTGTGACCTGGCACATGGCGTGTGCCCTGCGCGTGTGCATTCTGACCCATGCCAGGCCCCAGGACTGTGGGTGAGGGCTGGCTGTGAGCAAACAGTGCTGACACCGTGCCAGGGCGGCAGGAGCCTGTCACCTCGCACACCCTGGCATTGGTGACATTTTCCACCCAGCTGCTGTTCAGGTGGAGGCAGTGGAAACAGCCATGGCGGTGAGCTCAGCCGCAGGAGGGGAAACTCCTCTTCCTCCCGACCGAGCACAGGCCGCGTGGCTCCGCACGAGACGCCCACACCGCGGCCTCTTTCTCCGAAGCCGGGAGACTGTGCGGTCTGACGTAGAGAGGACGGGGACAGAGGCCCTGGCCACACTACTAAGGAGATCGCGAAGCGATCTTTCCTGTCACTAAATAGGGATCGTTTCACAATGGTGACATGACAATATTTGCATTTTATTTTGTTTTTTTAAATTTTTGAGATAAGTTTTCCCTATGTTTCCCAGGCTGGCCTTGATTTGGCAATTCTCCTGTCTCAGCCTCCCGACCGCTGGGATTCCAGGGAGAGCCACTGCGCAAGGCTGGGCAGGGGGCAGGTGGGTGGTCGGCTCCGGCATCCGGACAGGAAATGCTGCTGGAGGCTGGCGGACATGAGGTTATGTTCAGGGGACCCCGGGGTCACACACACAGATCGCTTTAGGGTAAACACCTCCACCACAGCCTGTAGGGAGGACTGTGGCCACCTGGGGCTGTGCAGGGCCACCCCCCATGGCAGGCCCAGACGCCTGCCCTCTCCAACAGAGAAGCCCAGGATTGGAATGTGCAGGTGAGCCACAAAAGGCGCCGTGTAGGGAAAGGGAGTAGGGGCCCCCACACTGCCACACTGTGACCTCAAAGCCAGAGGCATCTGCGGGCCACCCGGCAGAGGCTGGACTGGGGTGGGGGGCCAGGCACCGCAGGGAAGGACCACCCACTCCACAGCCCCCAACGTGGCCTCCTGGTCCTACTCCTCCAGCTCCTGTTTGCTTGTCTTTTTGAGACAGGGACTCCCTATGCAGTTCAGGCTGCCCTTGAACTCACTTTGTAACCCAGGCTGGCCTGGAACTCAACGGTGATCCTCCTGCCTCAGCCTCCCCAGTGCTGAGATTACAAGCATGCGTGCGCCACCATGCCTGGCACTGGGCTCCTACTTGTGACTGGGAGCTCAAACAGAAAAGCAGTTAGGAGACAGACCAGCAAGGGAGGACTGGGGTGAGGTGTCTGAACTTCATGAGTGCAGGAGCACCTGGGAGCCACAGCGCGATGAGGAGCAGGAAGGGAGGTGACTGCAGGGCGCTTGGGGAGGCAGTGAAACAAGCAGCTTGGCAGGGGCCTGGGGGCTTTCCCACCAGGCCAGGCTTGAACCTGGGCAGCAAGCAAGGGGCGTCAAGGGCAGGGCTGGCTTTGGGCGGCAGCGCGGGGTGAGGAGCAAGGAGGAGCTTGCGCTCTGGGACCCGACTGTCCCAGCTCGGAGGCGCTCGGTGCCTCAGTCTCTCCATCCACCCGCCGCACGGGGTGTGGAAAGCCAGCGACGCTGTAAAGAGCGGGGCAGCGGCCGCAGCTCAGCACGGGTTGGCAGTGAGCCTCGGCTGGCCCAGCCTCCCGCCCAGGCCCTGCGCCAGGCCGGTTAAATCACAGGCTCGGGTGGGGTCTGGGCCGGAGCAGTTTCCAGCCAGCTTCACCACTGCGGCGGGTCTAGAACCCGGCGCGCCCGAGGCCTGAGCCCAGAGGGGACACGGACAGAGGCGTCTCCGCAGGCCACGCCAGGCGCGC